TGATTTGATTAGAAAAGAATACAAGTGTTTTATTAGTGAGCTTCGGATATTATACAACACAAATACTGGACAAACCCGCAACTCAAGAAACCGCTCTACTAACGCTAAGGAAAAAATTCGGATTCGCAGAGATTGGTGAAAGTCACTGATTTGTGTTGGACATATGTTTTGCTACAATCGTTCTACACCTCAAATTCTGAAGAAACATGAAATCCGAGTGTAGAATGCCCCGTCATACCTTTGGGTCTCAATTGATGTCTCAAAATGTGGAACATTTGTTTTCTCTAAAGTGTCTATATGAGTTCTGCAGTTAGATATTTATTGCAAAATGACGGTAGGCGGCTCATTTGAGTCTTCTGTGGTGGTAACGATCCTTCTATTGTAGGTTTTACGAGTAAATATTATTGCACACTTATGGATAAAGTAGAAAAAAGACGATAAGATGAAATCAGCTTCACCACTTTTCAAAAGAAACTACCACCAAAACAACTCTCTTTTTCTATAACAGCATTGCCATAAATAATGGTGTAAAAGCCGTTTAAGTTTCATGTGATACGAAGGCTTGTAGATGAACAGCAAATAAAGAGATCGTATGGTTTCACATCTCATGAGTTTTCGTGGTATAAAGGCAATATATATGGAATCAATTTGATGATATACAGTTATTATGGAGGTGGGTCGGTGCTTGAATGATATGTATAGCAGTCTCTCTTTGGTTGCGCCTTAATAGATTCAAGATTTCGCTGAAATTGCATCTACTTTAGTTCTCAACGAGTGTCACTTTGTGAGAAGAAATTACAAAAAATTGACACCTTAAATCATATCGTCAAAAAAAAAAAAAGCTGTCTAGATCAAGTGCTCGTTATCTATGTGCATCTGTGCAAGTAAATGGTAGCGCGTTGGTGCGCTACTCGCACCAATCACAGCGAATGAAATGTCACTGAAAAATTACCTCGTTTTTTTCCGTAAGGTTTATTCCCCATACAACATCAATGTACCGTCGTGTTTCTTCCCGTGCCTACAGCACCATCAAGCTTAACACTAGAGAATCGTCCGGTAACTTGACTACCTTGACGGTCAAGGTGAACAATGCTGGTTCGAAGGCTGGTGCTAAGCCCGGCTTGGCTCACCTTTACTCGAAGTTCAATTTCCTCAACACCGAGACCAAATCGGCCCTCAGATTCACCAGAGAATCCGAGTTGTTGGGTGGTCAATTTTCCTCCACCATCACCAGAGACGCTGTCTTGTTGAAGACTACTTTCCTCAAGCAAGACCTCCCGTACTACGTTGAAGCTCTCGGTGCCACCCTTGCTTCCCCCGCTTTCCGCCCTCACGAATTGCAAGAAGTTGTTTTGCCCGTCGCCAAGGCCGAATTCGCTGCCGCTAACGCTTCCAACTCTCACAAAGCCATTGAGGCTGCTCACGCCATTACTTACCAAAGAGGCTACGGTCGTCCCCTTTTGTACGATGGCACTCAATCGGTCACCGTTGAAGACATCCGCCAATTTGCCACCGACGTCGTCAACTCCACCAACGTCGAAGTGTTCGCCTCGGGCGCTAACGAATCTGACTTGTCCAAGTTTATCCAAGAGTCTTCCTTCTCTAAGATTCCCGGCGGTGCTTCGGAAAACATCCCTGTGATCTCGAAGTCTGGCGCTGAAGTCAGAATCCCCGCTTCTGGTGAATCTGTTGCTGCTTTGGCCTACGCTGTCAAGCCTGAGCAATTTGGTGCTTACGAAGCTTTGTCGGCTGCCTTGGGTAACCACTTCTTGGGTGTCGATGCCAACTCGGCTTTGGCTTCGATCAAGGGTGCCGTTTCTCAACTTTACAAATACGAAGACGCCGGTTTGTTTGTCGTGACTGTAAAGGGTGAAGCTACTCAAGTGGCCGAATCTATCAGAAGAGCCAAGGAAGCTGTTGAAACCACTTCTATTTCCGCTGAAGCTGTCAAGAACGGTGAATTGTCGCTTGCTTTACAATCGATTTTCGAATTCCCTCACTCGGTCAAGATTTCCTCTGACAAGCCTGAATTGCCCCAATTCAACTACGTGGCTGTGGGTGATGTCGACGTTTTGCCTTACGCCAATGAATTGTAAAACGCCCAACTGCATTTGATAATTAATTTATATATATCTTCCGAATAAATAGGAGTCTTGAACGTATTTCAGAAATTACCAGGGTCGATCCGTAGTCCTTCGAAATTTTGGCAATTTGTAAAAAAATAGCTTATGAAACTTAACAAATTCAGCTTGAGGCTGAAGTATATCTCATGTTGTAGATTTAAAATGGAAAGCACTCTTCTTATGTTTGGTACAAGCTTTGCACACAACAAAAACCTCGATTTGTTATAGATCGAATGATCGATGACGTTAGACGGATTGAAGTGATTGTAACGAGTCTATTTTGACCAGACGTAGCTTACCAGTCAAAATCTGGAAAGGTACATCATACATCAGTTGCCAATCCTTGTTTACAGAGGCGAACTGAGCTCCACTTCATCCACTATTGTATTTTTTTTTTTCTCCCCGAGCGAGCCTTTCTCATCGCGGTGAACATTGACGACCACACTTCCCATCACTTCCCCCCATTCCCCCCAATAAACCTATCCCTTCCATCTAATCAAGCTGATTCAAGTTCTTGTTGAAGATGTCTGACGTTGAAGATAATGCCTTCAATGAAGGTGCTGAACACTACGACGATTTCGATGCGCCCGATCATTTCTCCGATGACGACATGGTGAATGATGACCCCGCCCAAGCCGGTGGTGATGACGTTACGGTGGATGGTAAGGCTATCATCAACGGTGGCACTGGCCCCGAGGATGCCCAAATGCACCGCATGAAAACGGCGAAAGAACTCGCAATTCCTAAGGAGGCTCGCACCACAACGCCTTACATGACGAAGTATGAGCGAGCAAGAATTCTTGGGACTCGGGCATTGCAAATCTCGTTGAACGCCCCAGTTCTTGTCGACATTGAAGGTGAAACTGACCCTTTGCAGATTGCTATGAAAGAATTGGCGCAAAAGAAGATTCCTTTAGTGATTCGTCGGTATTTGCCCGATGGATCATTCGAGGATTGGGGTTGTGATGAGTTAATCATTGATAATTAAAAGAATTTTTTTCTACCGTACATACGACATGATCCTTTCTGTCATGTAAATTACTTGAAAAAATCGCCCAAAAGATTTGCCATCATATTCCCTTGCTTAGGAGCACCCAATTGCAAGCCAAAATACTCCTTAGCTAAATACTCAACCGGAGCAAGTAAATCTGATTCATGTAAAGACAGTTTGTAGTGATTGTATAACCCCAAGAATTTTGTACTAGCGTCTTCGGATTTGCGTAAGGTTACCGCCAACAATTGAGCAAAATTGATCAAGGGGAAAGTATCACATTCATAGATGATGATATTTTCATAGGAGACATCAACACCATTTGCATAATCCTCGCGGAATTTGTTGATGAATTTCAGGGAGGACTCCGTGACGAAATTGATGTTTTTCAAGTACCCGTAATTGATGATAGCACGTGAGAGGAATAAGCCTGGATCGTGGTTAGATGTGAATTGACCCCATCGATACAACAAATCGATGTATACAGAGACCGATTCATGTGAACCCAAAATCAAGTGGAGCTCAGTCACTGCGAACAACTTGGCATCATCATCTGCGTTAAGTTGAGAAGCTTCAGTCAACGCTTTAGCAAGCTTGGCGCCGAACACATCATGTAATTTAGAGTCACCGTACTTCAGGTTCTCTTCAGCTTGAGACCACAGAATTGCTTGCTTTGAAAGATCGACAAGCAGGGGCTCAGTAGGTGGCAATTGTTGCACCAAATCGATCACCATCTGCTTCAGCTTATTGTCACAACGATGTTCCTCACTGTACACATCAATGAGGTAGCTGATCAAATCGGCACTCAGCGGGTATTGTTGTTTCTCAGCTAGGAGCTGTGCGCCATGGGCGAGAATCTTGGTAGCCTCATCGTATTGCTTGGCCTTCACATACCTGTTGATAATGGTTCGCAACGTTTGATGTGCCTCATAGAATTGACCAGCTTCTATCCGAGCTTCAAATCGTTTTATGGTCAGCTCCAATCGTGACATTTCCTTGACTTTCCACCACGACCTCCGTTAGGAAATTTTAGTGCGCACTTCTGAGAACACGAGTCATGAATGGAGCACGATGTAAAGTTGACAAGCATCTATATGTTATTTAACATCTATATTCACCCACTCAACAAGACCTAGTTTTAGACTTCCAGAGATCCGAAGTTCGTGGGGTCATGCTAAAGCATCCTCGCAATGCTCAGCCTTTCATGGGTGAATTCGGATGTTGCTCATGCATTGAAAAAGGTGGCTTGATTCTTAATCGACCCATCCGTCAAATACCGAGGAAACGATCACGACGAATTGTTCTGCGGCTAAGGACATCGCCGATAGCATATGAAAAACAGACTTCAGCCTTTCCACAATTTACATATATCTCGTCTCGAAGGAAGCGTGTAGTGGATTGTATGATATAAAACACTGAGCTCACCCTTGAGGGTAGGGCTCAATGTAGGATGCGTGTTTATTCAGTAAAATTGTCTTCTATGCCATGTAATTCGACTCTTTACCGCTGGCGATTAACTTCGTCATATAATCATAGTCTGTTGTGTGCCAAGGCAAATCAGCTCATTTTTTCCCCATACCCCGTGTTTTTCCGATCAATCCAAGTTACCATGAGCTGATTTATTACGCGAGAGATCTATATAACCATGCTTGGAGCCATCACAATATCCCCACAATTCTTCTGCTTCGGCGAATCCAATGAAAGATAATGACTTCTACAGCTTGGCAGGCTTGTCTGTCGGTGAATACCAGCTCATCCGCCGTATAGGCGCTGGAACATATGGACTCATCTACCTCGTTGAAGACATACACACAAGACGCCGCTTTGCCGCCAAAATGTTACTTAAGAACCCTCCCATGAAACTCGACGATGTTGACGCAAATAAGGAGCAAATCCAACGCCAGTTTTATCAGTTTTTTAAAGTCAATCAAAGCCCCTCGATCGAATCATTGAACTTGCTAAAACTTCGAAATTTGGGTGCACTGTGTCCATTTTTGAAAGAGATCGCCATTCACTTGCAAGTGATGTCCCACCCTAATATTGCTCTGATCCATGCTGTGCTCGATATAACTGACTTGGCTGTCGTCATTGTTATGGACTACTTTGAGCAAGGCGACTTATTTTACAACATCACTACGAATCAAATCTTCCAGAGCTACCATGGTAACAAGCAGTTATTGATGAAAAACGTGATGCTTCAGCTTATTGAGGCAGTGGAATTTTGTGCTTCGCGAGGCATATACCACTGTGACTTGAAACCTGAGAACATTATGGTACACTACAATCCGCATTACGTACGCTCAACCTCCAATGTTTGTATCGACTATGATGAATGTCGTGTTGTACTAATCGATTTCGGGCTTGCGATGACTTCAAATTTCATGTGCTGCAACGTGTGTCGTGGTCTGCTGTTTTATATGGCGCCTGAACGGTTGATGAACTATAGTGATCTGCCTATCATTCGAAGATTGGTTGATCTTTCACAATACGAGCTGATGAAGGAGGAAAATCGAAAGTATGATTCTCTGAGCCTGAAATACTTTCCTACCATCGCTGGCGATATATGGTCTTTGGGGGTCTTGTTTATCAATATCTCTTGCCTGCGAAACCCATGGCCTATGGCATTACTAACCCAAGATGAGAATACAGTGTTCAGAGATTACATGCTACACGGAAAGAAGAAAATATTATCACAAATTCTTCCGATATCTACCCAATTTAACCTATTGTTGGACAAAATATTCCGGCTAGATCCAAACGAGCGGATAAATTTACCAGCATTGCGCCAAGAAATCATGACAATTGATTTATTCCACACCTACCCCCTTTCCCCGCCTTCGGAACCTGAGGTCAACTTGCCTGAGGTGAGAGGTGATCTCATTATCACAGAGAGAAGCATGATGGAACAATGCCGCCACCGATTGAAGCGGTTCAGCTGCCCTCACCACTGATGCCAGGAGCAATGCGTTGTGTGTAAGCGATGATATTGTTCGATTCTGTCACTATTGTGTATTATTCCCTAGAATGCAATACATATACGTGCGACCAATTCTCCCAAGCTCAACTTTAAGCCAGTAGTAATGCCGTGTCCCTCCAAATTGGCGAATGAGCGATGGCGCTATCGCCATCATCGTGGCACCGGGACTAATAACTGGCCAAAACTAATCGCAGTGGGGTATCGCATAGGCGGCCGAGCGTATTGCGTTGGCAAAGGATATACCCCGCCTTCTCCTTCGTGTTCGGACAAATGTGCGGAGATTAATCCGAGTCGCCACAAAATTATCGAATAATAATGTGGAGTTTATCCTGCTTCGAGTTTGTGTCGTAAATGTGTGCTTTGTGTTCAGCCAAACAATACCCAACTTTGTAAACGTGATGAGGGACACGCTATTCACGAACAAGGGTGTTCACTGCTTCTCGCTAAGCTTATTACACACATGTTTGAAGTTCATATATTGACTCGCTCATTTGACGTCAGGTGATAGTGCCTTAGCCAGACTCGCTGGTATCAAATGGAGAGCAATTTGTGCCTCCTGTAAAAGTGGGGTAAACTTTGTCGGGAGCATAACACGAGAAAAGCATACATTCGGTTCGCTATTGTTACGGCGTGAGGCGATTTGTTAATTGGCGAGGCACAGCGGCACAAAATTTTATTTTTCATGAGACGCCCACTGCACAAAGCACTGCTGTAAAGTTTTTTTTTTCGCCGAAAAGCTGGGAGGCTGATGTGGTCGAGAATTAGGTCATTTCCATCTGTTCATTTGGATAACATGTTACAATCTAATACATTTGTGTTTGTATACACTGACTACTGATGGAGTCAGAAGGTAAACGAGTTTCGTCACCGGCGTCAGTTGATTGTAAATGTCACAGAGAATCGGATGATACTAGAGTTGGTTGCGCCTCCTCATAGTCTCCGGAAAAACCACGGAAATTTCGGAGGAATTATGCGGAACACCTATAGTAACGTTTCACGACCCAAACCGGCAGCGTCTCGAACGATGGCGCATTTTTTTCTCCCTGCCTAAGCAAAAAAAGACCTGTGCCGCAACGCAACGCCGTTACTTTCCGAGATCCCGGCTCCGCCCGCTTAGCCAAGGCCGAGACCTAGACTCATACCAAGAAGTTTTGCGACAACCACCCCCTGGCTAAAACCATATCTACAGCACTACTAAAATAAACTCGTATCACGTGTACTTGCAATGTATATATGTAGCAGCTTGCTATGGGTCGAGACTCTTCGGGTGGGCGCTTCGCTGATTCACCCCTGAATTTTCCACCCCCTGATTTTCCCAGATTCACCTGATTTAACCCTAGTGAACGAGGTACATCAGCCACCCCCTGACGTCATTTTTCATGTCAAACTAATGGCAATGCCCTCAATCTGCCCGGCAACGCAGGTGCTTTTCGCACCGAGGACGCCCGAGCACCCCTATAAACTCCGATGTCCTCCGACACCCGTTAGTAACCCGATGAGGGAGCCGGTGCGTGGGGATCTTTCTTGACCACGTGAAGACGGGCCTGGTGGCGATGCGAAAGTGACACCTCGTAGCCGCTGTCGCTCCGACGCATCGGCAAAAGAATCCAGTTTGGCGGAAGCACTGCCAGCGAGATCGGTAACGATATCGTTTGGTGGCCGTCGTCGTTGTCGTGTCGGGCAAACGTGTAGTCGGTAAATGGGTTGTTTGTCAGCGTCGTAGGCGTCGGAGTGAGGCGTGGCAGAGACTGCAGTGGTGCTGCTGTTGCTGGTGCCGCGATGGTGGTGGTAGGCGGCACTTGGCGGCTCAGACCCTCAGTGGGGGGCTCGGTAGACCCGGTTCCGGTGAAGGTAGCAGGGTCGGCACCACCGGTGCCGGCGTCGGTGGGCGCGGGAGCTGCTGGACGTGCTTCTGGTTGAGGCGGGGGTGGCGGCTGGAATGCTTGAAGGTCGCGAGTCAACGCCGCCGCCTCCTGGGCCGGGGTCAACGGCTCGTCGCCAAATACCTTAGAGCGACACAATGGGCACGAATCGGTACGCTCCAACCATTCTTTGAGACACCCCGCGTGCATAAAGTGGCCACAGCGAAGCTTTTTGGGGATCTTGCGCTTGGAGAGCTCCTTGCCGTGGGCCTCCAAGTACTGCGCCGGCGCTCGCATCTCCTCCATGCAAATGATACACAAGTTGTCGCTGGCGGCCAACTCGGCGGCGGTGGCCGTTTGAAGTTGCAGATCTAGCTGTCGTGCCAGCTCGATGAACTTGAACAAACTGCCCACCTCCAAGTACACTTCGCGGAGCGCCGAGTAGGTACCGGAAATCATCGCTATGGGAGGTAACAGCGTGCCCAGCTCATAGATGAGAAGATACACGTAGCAGATGTGCGACGCCGCTTTGAGTAAAGCCAGCAGAATGTCGATCGCTTTCGAGTAGAACGGCTTCGCCTCCCACACCCGCTCGGCAATGACGTCGTCGTCGTCCAGCAAGTTGTCGATATCGGCGTCGTCGTCGGCGGGCTCCACCCGGTAGCGCAACACTTCGTAGGCGGTGAGAACAAGCTTGGCAAAGTAGGTGAGAGTTTCAACGCCCTGCATGGCGAATTGGAAGCCAAACAAAAGACAGACGACACTGGTGACACCGTAGACGACATCGTACACCAACAACTTGGCCACGGCAAAGTCGAGCGCTACCGCCACCGGCACCAACCAAAAGTACAAGTTCAGCGCGTACTGGCGGAACACGTCGGCCTGGGTGGTCAGCAACTCAAGCCCGTTGACGATCTTCATGGCGCAGTAGTCCATACGGTCCATGAGAACGATGTGGAACACCTTGAACGAGATACTGAGGCCAAACAATACCACGTTGACGATCATTTCTTTATCGGTGGTGGCCCAGTTGAAAAGCAAGGTGACGACAAACATCGGCAACCTCTCCATCAAGTGCTCCATTTCGATGATCCGCAACTCGCCAAACACCGCCATTTGCATGAGGCGGCACCATATGAGGTAGAAGATGGCGACGAAGTTGATGAGGATGCCCTTCTTGACCCCCTCGGTGAGGTGCCACACAAACGAGTACTCGTCGTACGATATTAGGAGCAGGTCATACACCAGCCACCCTAGTAGCGCCGTCAGGCCAAGGGTGTACCCCACAAAGTAGTAGAAGTTGCGGTGCATTGTGGGGCGGTGCCGATAAGGGTACGGTGTTCGTTAACGTGCGCGTGCGGCTCGCAACTGCCCTTGTCCGCCATCGGTGCGAACAGGGGGAAAGCGCAGCGAGGGTCGACCGAAAACGTCGCACCTGACTCAATTGGTTAAGTTTTAGTTTGTATGGTAGTTATTGGATTTGAATAGGGCCTGGGTTAGGATCATTTTCATCTTGATTGGCCGTTTTGGGTTGCTTGCTGATCTGGCAGTGCTATCAAACACATCAAGTGATTTATCCTCAACACAATGAAGATATTCGAATTCAGCTTGCCTCGCTTTGCTTTCTGTGGAAAATTTAACCATTTTTGGGACAAACGAGTTGGTGCAGCCTCCACAGATGTTGCATGGTCCCAGATAGAGTCTGTGAGGTGTCTCTAAGGCTATTGGAAGGCACGAAGTAACCCACGGCATTACGAGCTCAATGTGTCCCGCAGTGGTACGAGGAGGAACATGAACTCATCAATACTACGAAATATGGCACATCACTATTTTTGACCAGCATGTGGCACCGATAAAGGCCATTCATTACATGTAAAGAGTAGTCGCCTGGTATGTCTGGCTTCTCAGTTTGAACGTCTATCTCCGTTCGGTGAAGTTGGCAAGCTGTTCTGATATAGGCAGCGACGTTGGAGTTAAACGTCCCCCATTACAATACCTTATGCGGACTCCACAACCTGTTCTGCATCTGTTTAATCCTGGGAAACATTTAAGCCTCAGCATTGCTGTGTTGAGAAGTGAAGTTTCAGTGAACGATGCCTGCTTTGAACTTCAAACCAAGGCACTATCAATAACTTGAATCAGTCCAGATTTACAGCGCTGCCAACGATGCTGATTACTATTTGAAAGAAACGGTGCCAACTGAAAATGACATTCTTCAAACAGCTCCCATTGAACTCACTCTTGTGTGAGCACTTCCGTCTTAACCGCGTCCTGCATTTGTCCACAAATTCTGTACAATGGATGGTGCATACACCAGTGGTTTCAGCCGAGTTAATCTTAAAGCCATTAGATGCAGCAGCCAGTTCGCACCTGATCCATGATTTATCGAAACATGACAACAGGAAGATGATATTCAAAATCACGCTGTGTTTGTTGCGTACTACATCACATTCAGTAGACATCGGAAGCGACTTGCGAAGTGAGCAGTGGCAAGAGAAGTCTAACTGTTACCAGTCCAGATCTATGTACCGGACTTCTTGATTATATACAGGATATCAACTACATAGTCTTACACCAACCCAAGTGAAAGGGGTGGTCAGATATATGAAGTGAGGAGAAAATCTAGACGAACTATTTCAGGGAGTGTATTTAACCACCGCTGAATATTGGCAACGGTTTAACAGTGACACCTTGTAGACAGAGAAGGTGCATCAGTGAAATGAAGAACACGACGATTTAAGCTTTATAACAAGGTTTAAGCTGAACTCGTGTCACGCAAGGTAATCCATGGACTTGTCTATTTGGTTTGAGGAGTTTCTTGGGTGCTAATGCAATTACTGACTGACGTCAACCTTGCAAAATGAAGTCCTGCACACTTGAGTATCGTCTAAGCGCGATGTACAGCTTTCATCCAGGTCTTTATAGCGCGTATGACTCACTTTAGAAGAAAGAATACAACATCACCGTGATGTTTAAGGTTCAAATAGTATTTAGACGGCAAATGGGATTTTCCGAATTTTCCCTGAAAAAACTAAAAAGTGTGCTATAAAATCAGGAAAAATCACTAGAATCAAACCGATAGCTTCATAAAATTCTTTTTGTACCGGAAGTATAGTTGACGTGGTTTTGGGAGAGTTGACTTTAAAATTGGCGTCTCTATGTGAGTTTATTGGTGGTAAAAAAAACTTTTTTTTTTTTTGCAATTTTTTTTCGGACGATTTTGAGTTTGCAGCGTGGTCTAATACATCTACTGAGCGTTGGAGTTGACCTGTGATATTTGTAAAAGCGGTGAGAGAGGTGTAACACCTCGTCTATAGTCGATACCTGTATGCAGGTGCATGAAGAAATATGCAGAAAACAACAAGGTGAGCTGTATCACGCACTTACAGAGTTATCAGCTCGTATTTCAAAGCACGTTTGTGAGCTTTGAGTATGTCTACCTGGTCTGGTGGGTTTAAGTAGGTGTCGGCACCAGTGCTGACGCAGATATCAGGCTTTGAAGTCCGAGGTACTGCACATAAGCACCGCAGTTGCATATCATTCATAAGTTTCCAATCAGGATTTTCGTCACGTATATCACACTCGAGAAAGAAATGAAATGCGTGACTGTGATGTATACGGTGCAAATAGAATACACAACAGCAAATAGGATTTTCTGAATTCTCATAAGAAAAACTTCAAAGTGTGATATAAAATCAGGAAAAACTGCCACAGACTTTCTGTTTGCTCCATAAAACTCTTTGGCCTCAGAAGTATGGTAAATAAATATGTGGGCGGGCTAACACTCAGTTTGAAGAAGTTTTGAGGGAGTGTCAGGAGTGTCAAGAAATGAAACCAAGAAAGAATGGGCAAAAAAGATTTGTTTGTTTTGTGACTATTTTTGGCACCTGAAGTATGACTGGTGTTACTTTGGGCGAGCTAACGAGAAATTTGACGTAGTTGGAGCAGTGGTACTCTCCTTGCATCACCTGCGGAACGGTCAGGTGTATGCAGTGCACACCATAATCAAGGCACTACAAGTTGCAAACTGTGAGTGGGTCAAGTTTGTCACTGCCATCACAATTGCAATACGCTAGACCGCTGCAATCCCTATAGAGCTGGATGGGACTGTGATCCTAATCAAGCTTTCATGTGCGTGCTCAAATTGACCCTGCATGTAGGGAAGGAGTTTTCAGGTAAGCATATACTATTGATAAGACAAGTTGAGTGAGTTCTGATACGATTTCTGTGTTCTGCACGGTTCAAGTATGTGTGTCATAGTGCTCAGAAGACGTTGTCGAGAAGAAAAAATTCTTCAAAAAAAAGTCGAAAAAAAAATTTGAAATAATTTTAGACGAGAGGCGAGTGCCCTATACGCAGGAGTTGACGAACAGCGCGGGATGTTATATACAGGACAAATGTGAGTTTTGAGGTCGAGCATCGTTCTCGTTAACATGTCGGAACTTGCGTCACTATTCGTTTTACTTCACTCAGGGGGCTATCTGCAAGGGTGCCATCTTGGATTGAGAATGGAACTTGAGGCAAGTGTTTAGCTTACATATCGGATGAGTGTGTTAGTTCTGCACATAATGCATGGCCTCCAATCTATCCTTAAAGTCTCATAGTTCACATGACGTAAAGTTGGATTTCGTATACGTTGGGTACACAGTCTAAAACATAGTACGTCAGCACAGCGGTGCGTGGAAGTTCATAGGGATCGCGAGCAGCTTTCAGCTGACATAAGTGGAGGTGATAGAGCTAAGTTGCTAGCGATGCCAACAGATCTAAGGGGCTACAACCATTCCAAGTAAAGGCAGTGGTTCTTGTACAAATCAGAAGTCGTGATATGGTTTCATAAGATGGAGAGAATATGATTGCGTACGGCTCAAGTTGGGACTACGAAAATTCAATTAAGACCAAACCAAAGATTCATTATTGATCAATCAAGGTTTTACTATGGGTCACGCCATGACACTGCCCCGGCGGCAACAGACAACTCTATCAACTTTAGCTCTCTGACTACCACCTACTAATGCTGCTGGTACCGATTACCACCTACTCGGGGAAAGCATTCAAGACATTGATTATTCTGCCCACGACGCCACTTCAAGACAAGGTGGAAGGATGCAAGAAGTACGCAGCGTACTACGAGCTTGAACCACCGCCTGTAGAAGAAACACCCGAACTCTGCCAAGGACTTGTTGTGGGCCTCTGGACCAAATCGAACGAACTAATCATGGCGGTGTTGGTTATGATCAATGGGCTCGCCAAAACGCATGCCCTTTCCCATGCTCCGCCCCACTGGCTCGGCGAACTTATCAATGCAGTGTTCCAAGTGGAAGCGATCACTGTGTTTGCTCTGGAAGTGCTGGCCAATCTTTGGTTTGAGGTGCCCGACGAAGTGACGGAGAGATTGCAAAGCGTGGCGTCGCAAATGTCTGGCAATTTCGTTCATTACTTGATTGTACAAGTTTTATCTGCTGACGCTGACTTGGTGCCGCTTGCCCCTAAGATCAAGCGTCTCATGGCTGCTGCACTGGCTAACACCCAGGTGACCTATGAAGCGATGATAATCCGCTACCTGCGCTCAATGTCGCTGTCTTGTCGTGATGCTTTGTTGGCGCAGAAGTGAGGCCTACTTAAACAAGACTGTGATGCTTTAGCATCCGTTACGTATGAGAAACGATTTGTTTGATGATGGTGTAGGAAGCGAATCATCGTACCATTCACAATGAGGGTCACCATTTAAGCATCTCTGCTAAACTCTTCTTGAAGTCACACCTTATTTGCCTATTAACCTAGTTTCACCGGTCTGGTGTTGGTATGATCGCTGAGATATGATTATCAATTATGACTTAGTTACCAGATGTTTTGCAAAAAAATCAATTATCCAAAGCCACAGATTATGAAAGCCTAGGCCTTCCCCCTTAGAGAAAGCTAGGTTCAGTCATACGAGTAACTCTCTAATTTGATATGAATTAAGCTATTTATCATTTCTTCAAGTCCATCAAGGCTTCCGTTTGTTTGTGGCCCAACACTTGGGCATGATGAGTACCATGGACCATCGAGTGGGCCATGTTTTCGAGACCCAGCGTCAAGTAACTACGGCGAACATTCTTCCGCAACGGCACTGCCAAAAGTTGGCGGAGCTGAGCCCGTTTGACCTTAGCTTCTTGTTTATCCAACATCTTCAGTTCCTTTTTCCGTCTTTGTTTCTTCAAGATATCGTCTTCAAAGTCCTGGAGCTCGTCCAAGTCGTCGAGCCCCAAGTCCTCAGCCACTTGCTTCACCCACAGCCCTTCCTTCAGAGTCGCCACCGTCAGAATCTCGCTGTCAGCCAATTGCGCCGCGAGCTTCACACGAGGGGTGATCTGTCCCACGATATCGTACTCGATAGGCAAAAGCTTGACGTCGCCAGCAATGCGCTTCAGCGCCTGGCCCAGCGCCGCCACCACACGTCGAAGCTTACGAAGCGGGCCCAGCGCTTCTTCCGGAGAGCACAACGTCAAAGCCACCCCTTCCTTACCGGCACGAGCGGTTCTACCCAGTCGATGGATGTAGACATCCGCCAGTTTGGGGATGTGGTAGTGGACAACATGGTCGATGTTGGGGATATCCAACCCTCTAGCAGCGACATCTGTAGCCACGAGTACTGCCGGCTTTTTCTGCTTGATCTCGGCTTGGAACCGCTCCAACGCCCGCAACCGTTGCTTCTGCTCCATGTTTGAGTGGATAGCATACGCTGCGATGCCCAAGCTTTTAAGGAACGGAGCGAGTCGTTTGACAGAGTCGATAGAGTTGGCAAACACCAACGACGTCCCCGGGTACATGAGGAGGAAGTAGTAGAGGTACAAGTCCCGTTCAGTGGCGCCACACTCGACAAGAGCTTCCGTCACCAGCAGCGCCACCATTTCCTTGGGGTTGGCGTCGATGAACTCAGGCTTTTTGCGGAATGAGAGCCGCTTTTGTAAAAGTTCCACCACTTCGTCGTTGGCCATGACAGCGCCTTTAGCGGGGTGAGACTTGCCCTTACGGTCAAGCTTCATAAAAAGATCGCGAGCAAATGTCGCCGAGAACACCAACGTCTGCCACTTTTTCGTCTTTTGTCGACGGAATATCTCAATGATCTTATCGAACTCCTCGAAATGGCCGTCTTGAAGTAATCTATCCGCTTCGTCCAAGACGATCATGTCTGTGCGCGACCAGCGATTGGCGAGTTCCTGATTGCCAGTTAAATGCTCAAGGAGACGCCCTGGGGTAGCAACAATCACCCCCGGGTTGTGTTTAAGCAATCTTTCTTGCTTTTGAATCGACAAACCACCAGTGATGGGGACAATGCCGTGCTGACCCAAAGGACTGTATTTACTCAACTGTTCCAAGTGCTTCACCACTTGATGCGCCAATTCACGAGTAGGAGCAAAGATGATGGCGGCGGGGGCGTCGTCAGTGGTTTCCCGTGCTAAGTATCGTTCGAGAATGGGGATACCGTAGGCCAAAGTCTTACCGGAACCGGTGGTGGCTTTACCGATGACGTCGGTGCCTTCCATTGCGGCTGGGATAGTAAGTTTTTGAATCTCAGTAGGCTTGGTAAAGCCAAGCTTGGCAAGCCCATCCTTGACGTAACCGGAAAGTTCCATCGCATCCCATTCGGGGAGGTTAACGTCCTGAGGGAGGTCCACTTGAGAAAACGTTCCGGGAGTGAGATCAGAATCCTCTTTGGCCTCTTGGGTATCTTTAGTAGCGGCGGATTTATCGGCAATGACTTCAGTTTCGGATTCTTCACCCTCACTAGCGTCAGCATCCACTTTATCCTCAGCATCCGCTTCGGCCAGCTCACCAGTAGCTTTTTCTTCCTTCTTTCTCAGTTTATCCTGTTTCCCCTTCTTCTTCTTATCCTGCTTGTCGCCCTTCTTCTTATTCGGCTTATCGCCGTCGGCAGTGTCCTCCGCCTCAGCATCCTTCTGGACGAGCTCGGGCTTGCCGTTGACGTACCGCACCGACACCCCTTCCAACTCCTCCATGCCCATGAACCCTTCGTAGTCGCCAAGCCCGTCGGGGATCTCCACCGGCTTCCAGTTGAGCTCCAGCATCAGCACCACCTTCCCCTCGCGGCGCTGCTTCTGCTTCATCGTCGGCACTTTCGGCGTGGCCTTGGTCTTCTTTGCCCGCTTGCCACCCTTCTGAGGGCGTCCGGCATCCAGATTAGCCTTCCGCTTCATCGTATGGTGTATATTTTAAGGAGATTCGGGGTTACTATAGTGGTCGCACCTAGTGCGCGATGAGCATCGCTCGCCCTCGCAGACAACGTCTCCACCCACACAAACCAACAACACACACAAAGATCACGTCTCAGACAAGAGAACGCGTCTAAAAGAGGAGTTGACCGAAAGTGTGATTGGTCTGAAAATGCTGCGTAAGGGTTCAGGAATGCTTCGAGGCCTGCGGCTGATTACGGGAGCCTCTACCAAAGTGCCCAAGGGATTAAAGCCGCAGAAGTCCCGCGAGCTTATCCGGAGATTCCACAATTTGCTGAAGTGGAAACTGCAGATAGTGGCATCATTGGCAAAGGAGTATCCTGAGATCGACCAGGACAATTACCGCGAGTTACTCGGTAAGCAGTATAGTCGCCATGTATTAGAGAAGCGCGATGTCAAAGCTAATAGCAAACAGGTATTTGCTACCACGGGCACGACGTCACAATTGGCGAAGACATTGGCGCAAATTGACGCTGAGATCGAGTGGCGTGGGGGTTTGGAAACGTACCAACGGGCGCTGACGCAAGGACAAGATGCTAAGCGCGGTGGCGACTCTTCTAAGAAGCTAGTACAATGGCTTGAGCTGGGTGACTACTTAGGCTTTGGCGAGGAAACACTGGGACTTCGAGCTTTAGAGATTGGGTGTCTTCTGTCGCTTAACGCCATCTCATTTAGCCACATGTTCAGCTCAGTGGTGAAGATCGATCTCCACTCCCAGAGTCCAGAAATCATCGAACAGGACTTCATGCAACGTCCTTTACCCACAAGTGACGCTGAACGTTTCAATTTGATTAGTTGCTCGTTGGTGCTTAACTTTGTGCCTACGCCCAGCCAACGTGGGGAGATGTTACGGAGAACTACTCAATTCCTTTTGCCACCTACTGCGGAGATAAAGCTGCTTTTGTTCCTTGTACTTCCGCTCCCATGTGTCTCCAACTCTCGTTATTGTACTGGCGCTCACCTAGACGACATTATGAAGTCTTTGGGCTATAACCAGGTAAACTACCATGAGGCGACAAAAGTGGCATACTGGCTCTACGAGTGGACTGGTCCAGTGACCACGACCAAGTTCCCCAAACGTGAACTTCAATCAGGAGCCAACCGCAACAATTTTGCCGTGGTGATGGACTAGACTCATCATGGTTCACTAATTTTGGCTGCGAATTGTAATCATCATTTTTTTTTTTTTGGTGACGCGCCATCCTGCACACAGTGGGGCTGGACCCTAGGTGCGATGATGTTGCCGAGGTCGGATTACACATACAAGGCAAACATATATATGTGACGTTCTCCTCGTTACAAATTGCATCCTACCCACCTTTTACCTAACACATCATGCTGTTTTACACATCCAATTTACGCATTGAGTACGTGCCGCTTGACCAAATCCGCCGGCCAATCCCGCCGGTGCTTGACACCAGCAAGATCGACGCCATGGAGTCTACGCTCAAAGGCACGCCCCAAGCGCTGGCTACGTGCTCTCTTGAAGATGCGGTGGCAGGCGAACTTCCGCCAGTGGACGTGTTCAAAGTGAGACACAAAGGTCAGACCCTGTACTTTGCCTTTGGTGGATGTCACCGTCTACAGGCGTATGACCGGCTCGGACCCGATACTGAAGTGCGGTGTAAGATACTTCCAGCGACGAAAGACACGTTAAGGCTTTATTTGGGTAGTTCCGTGGACACGTTGTTTGAGTAAGGACAGGTGACTTCATGACTTGCATCCTACTCATGGACGTTTATTATTGGTGGCCGTTATCTCATCTTTCAACACATTCAAAGAAATGATTTAATTGAGTCTACTCGGAAATGTACAACAATTTCCATGTTAAACTCGATACACTGCGTCTTCTCAATTGAGCCTACGGTTCACACTTTGTCATCAATGCAAAATTCAATTGATTCTATGACTGATATGGTATATGGTTGAGTTCAATTGTCCATTAGATACATAATTTATCAATTAAACAATCACGCACAAGTCGAAGAAACGGAAGTCCTTTTCGAGGGAGTAGTTGTCCTTAGGGGTTTGAGTGTTGGATTGAGATTGTTGAGCAGCCATTGTTGATTGTGGTTTGGTGGTTGTAAGAGGTTAGGGGATGGAGTACTTTATGTTCGTTTGGTGGGCTCAGCCCAATTGCTCGATTAGGACGTGACAATGGGACTGGGTGGACTCCTCAACTAAATTTGGAGATGACAATCAATCAGCATAGTATGAAAAGCTGAGAAACAAAGTTTCTCAAGCTTCAAATCAACACTAATCAACTTTTCAGTCGAAACTACCGAATGAGCAATTGATGGCTAGAGATAAAGCATGGAAGTTTTTTGCATTGCTTAATGAGTCTAGGCTCGAATCTGATCATGTGAGTAGTAGGTGAAAGTTATAAGACATCCACTGAACTCTTCTATGAGAGTTCCAAAGTTGAACGCGGACACGTTTCAGACGCTAGCGTAGAGTCTCCTGTTGTTGCATCCGAGTGGCCAGACGCGTGGTGCATTCATCACACGATGTTCAGGTGTCGTGATTAAAACAAAAAGTTTCAAGGGTCAAGGGCTAAGCTGATGGGAAGCAGAGGCATCAAAGTGTCAATAAATTGGTTTGTCTCAAAAATTGGTGAGGTTGATGGAGCTAGGTACCCACTAGATAGTGTACCTAGTGAGATCATACGATGACGTCACCGCGCATCCAATCGAAATCAATCCAAGGTTCATTTCTTCGATACAAGTATTCGTTTAGTATATTTCATTAGTCGTATATGTTTACTTCTTTTCCCGTAAGAGCTCGTTGGTGTGGTCTTGAGCCAGGATGGTGAACACCAGCCCCTTGCGCTCTTTGCCCTCAGTGCGGCACATATCGGCAAACGAGTAGAAGTCGATCAGGTGGCTGAGAGGGTCGTCGCGGTCGACAGCGCTAATCGTCGGCAGTGCCTGCGGTTTGTGGAAGGGCAGCGCCGGCGACAGTGCCGGCGGCAGTGCCCAGGCGCCGTCGTCGCGGCGCAGTGACAGTCTCAGCACCCGTTTAAGTTTCGGCGGCTGATGCAGCGGGTCTAAGCAGCTCATGAGCGACGTCGAGATGATTGAGCGCAGCCGCGACCGCGGCGTGAAGAGCTCGGTGCCGTCATCGGGCGCCAGCTCGTCGCCCAGCGCCGCGCCGGCGTCGCCGTCGTCGCCACAGCAGTTAAGCTGGATCAGATTGTAGTCGACTTTGGGGTCGGTGATCAATTCGGCGGTGGTGTCGAGGATGGGAGGGATGTAGTTCTCCGTCAGGTAGTGGGCGGGGGTTTCGGGGTTTATCACCACGGGCAGGGTGCACAGGCGTTCAAAGATGTCGTCCAGCGACGCCGCGGCGCCGGCGGCGCCCATGGCGCTTTTACCAGGGCCGTGTTCGAGCGATACTAGCCGGGTAAGAGTGCGCTTGACGAGCTTGTGGAGGCGGTGGTACCGGGGCAGCGGAAGGGGCACGCCGTGAGCGGCTGGCGACGCCAGCGACGACGGTACCAGCGCCGGCGTCAGCGGCGCCAGTGGCGCTAGGGACGCTGGGCGATATGAAACGGCGGTAGGAGGGGATGGAGGCATTCAGTGGACGGCGAACAGACACACGAGCAAAATACCAAGATCACCACCAGCAGACCAAGGCAACAAAAACGCTGGCGCTTTAATGCCGGGTTACCCCTAGTTGGGGAAATTGGCTCCTGCACATAGTGCGCGAGTCCTCCGCACCGAGAACGTCCCCCAGCGCACGGCAAGCACCCAAAAGTGTCGTGCCCGCGACTACCGCCGTCATCGCTTGAGATTTTCCGTGCGGCAAGCGTGACCGCGAGTTGTTGGCTAGCTCACCCAATCGGGCGATCTGCTACCTCTGATGAAACGCCCCTTAACCGCGAACACCACCATAGAACCCAGCCTGAGTACTTAGCCATCTAGTCACGCCCCCTCACCACGTCTTTGTGAAATACAAGAAATTTCCCTTAAGCTGTCAACTGGCGGCTATCGTAAACAGACCACATTGGCTTTGTGGTGTGACACCCAACCACCTGCGACACCCACCATGCGGTGCCGCCCCGCACAGGGCCTACAAATTGCGTGTTCGGCCTAAGAGGTGGCGTTGGTTTCATTGTTGATCGAGAGCACGTCCCCGCCGGGACGAGGTCACACTTGGCGCAAGTGGTGCGGTTAGTGTTTGGGGTAAATAAGTGTGAGTGCCGTGCTCCCCGCCCTCTCCACGCGAGGTTTGATTTCGTCAGCTGGCTTAGCGCTGTGAGGAAGTTTGCGTTCCCCGGGCTCGCAACGCGCAGTACCCATTATCAACCACTCCACCTCAAAATTGATATGGTAGTTTTCGGGAATCGAAAATTGTCGGGTTAGGCAGCGTTGGCACCTATTCACACATTGCCTGATGACGCCAC